AAAAAAAAAAAAAGACTCTGTCTCTACAAAAAAATTAAAAAATAAATAAACCAGGTAAGATGCCACGTGCCTATAGGGGAGACTGAAACAGAAAGATTACTTGAAGCCCAGAAGTTCTAGGCTATAATGAATTATGAATGCACTACTACACTCCAACCTTGGTGACAGGGTGAGATTTTGATTCTTAAAAAAAAAGTTGATCCACAATTTTTCTTTGTGAAATTTTTTAGACACTATTCTTCAACTCAAAAAATCTCTAGAAATCAAGTTTATATATATAAATAAAAGCTACAAAAATTAAGCAAAAAATATATATAATATAGATAAATTATGAAAAAAGACTATAAAAATGAAAATCTGATTCATCTTCTAATCTTCCCCATCTTGTCTTTAAGAGTAATAGTCTTCAAAAAACAGTGTAATTTTATAGCATAACTGCTATTTTCACCTTTTTCTTTTTTTTCTTTTACTTTATGCTATCAAGAGTAATAAACTTTCCCCAAAATGCTGTAATTCCTACAAATGAAGTTTTCTCTGAGGAAAGAAGGTTTTGAAAATAAGGTTGATTGGGTAAGTGTGGTGGTTCACACCTATGATCCTAGCACTACCGGAGGCTAAGGCAGGAGGACTGCTTTACTTCAGGAGTTAAGACTAGCCTGAGCAAAAGCAAAACTCTGTCTCTACTAAAAATTGAAAATTTTATCCAGGTATGTAGCAAGCCACTGTAGAAAAAAAAGAAAAAAATAGGACTTACTGATCATTGATTCTGAGTGCACACTCCATAGCAAAACTGTTCGAGCCAAATAAAAACAATATTAGACCTACTTTCTGTAGTTCTTGCTTGGTTACATCTTTAGAATATGGTAAATAGATATTAAATGAAATTCTAACCTTAAGTGATATTTATATCTTTATTAGTTATCAAAATGCACAAAATTTTAATGAATTTCTTTTTAAAAATGTGAATAATGTATATAAGTAAACAATAGAATTTAGAATATATTCCATTAACTTTTAAATAAATCA